ATATATGTTGCACACTATAAAGTGTAGTATTTACAATGTGCAACTTACCTTCTTCTTGGTGGCCATGGCGACGACGCGTGACTGGCATCGTGCGCCATTGAGCGACTTCAGGCCCTTCACCGATGAAGAGTCTGAAAAGCCAAGAGCAGTGGCTGCTCCGGCCACAACTTGGCACTGAGAGAGAGCACGGAGGGTGGCCATTGCTGATAGTCTAGTGGTCTCTCTGAAGTGCTCAAGTTACTGGTGACTCGAGGAATCACCTTGTACGACTGTGCTTGAAAAGTTAAGACTCCTGAAGCTAGAGTTCCAGGTGCTATTGGCGGTTTTACAGCAGTCGACCTCGAGGGATTTTGAGAACTGGGATGGGGAACTCGACACTGCTGGCGGGGCTGGGAGGAGAATCCGGCGAAACGTAATCGTGCGGACGAAATGAGAGGCGAAGATCGAGCGAAAGCTTCCAACGATCAAGGACACATCCACCTGTTCCTGAAACAAGAGGTGGTATGAGGTGTGCGAGGCAAGAGTTACTATAGCGAAGTGTTTGTTGAGAGGAACAATGTTGTGCTTGAGGTGCTGCCATGTAGGCAGTGTCCGGTTGAAATTATTTGGTTGTTATTGGTCAGCCCGCAATGATGGAAACTCGTGGCGCTCAGAGCACGGAGCCCATGTTTGTGGACTTTCACTTCACTAATCAGCAGGACGATGCCCATTTTCCAGATTTCGCCAGGGCAGTCTCCGAAACACGTGCCTGTGATAAGACTGCCGCAATACCCGAGCGAAGTAGGAAACAACACGTTACAGCAGGCTGGGGAATTCGCCTGATCAACAACACGTTACTAGCATTTCCTTCACTACTAACAAACACAACTCAAGAATACTGAATAAATGGGGCAAGCGACAGACGCATGTTCGATATTTTGGCTAACAAATGCACAATGCACCTCCGCCTCAACTAGGCTGTTCCCTCTGCAGCTCGAAGGGCTCAACATTTCCAACCAGGGGAAGCAGCATGCTTCTCACCGCGTTTCCTTGCACATACGATTCCTCCTGCACTGCTAGGTGTGCAAATCTGCACGCAGCCTCGTCTGAAAACGCCAAGGTCCACCGCCCATCTGCCAAGCGCTTGGTGCGGGCCCGCGAGCCCATGGGGGAGCGAGAGGCGAGAGTACCGGCATCAGAGGCCGGGGCTTGGGGCGAGCGGATGCGCAGATGCAGCCAGCGCTTGTGCTTCGGGTCCAGTGATGGCTGGTGCATGGGCAGGGAGAAGCATTGGGAAGTTGAGATGCGAGCAACACATGTGAGGCAAGAAATCTTGTAGCAAGGAAAGCGAAGAGCTTGACATAAAACTAGAGCAACAAGCCAGCCCCGATGTGAGGAGCAACGAGTGCAGGAGACGCTCCCAAATAGCTGTTGGATGCTGTTCTAGCGAAAGAAAGTAAACAACTAAACCCCACCTGGAATCCTTGCTAGAGGAGGTTCACCAACCTGGCAGCCTGCGAGGGGAGCGACGACACGGACGACTCCTATAGCCCCTTCAGCCACAGCAGCCTTGGCAGTCATGCCGGCAGGCGGCTCTGCCAGTAGCACCCAGCCGTTGGCCGCACAGGAGGCCACCAGCAGCAGCACATGCTTCTCCTTGCCACGCTCAAACGCCACTCGGCATGGGATGGCGTCGCCAGGCTCTGCAATAGGAGGGAGTAGGTAAGGCGAGGAGAGGGTCTGCGTTGCAGGGAGCCTGCCATTGGTATGCGTGCCACCTCCAAAGGCCACCTCCACGTAAAGGAAGGAGAGAACGGCGGCTAATGGACGGTGTGAAGGGAGTGGGCAAAAAGTTCCCTGGAAGCACCGTGAAGGTTTGGCGTAAATGAGGGAGTCGATGAGACGGGGAAGGAACTGACCTAAAGGCATCTCCGTGGGCAGGAATAACTGAGGAAGGGAGTAGGCACTGGCATAGAGGCACCTCCATGCGTTCCTGTGCCTGTGCTAGGCGGAGCCCTTTACTGAGACGACTAACAAGGAAAGGAACTGACCTAGAGGCACCTCGGTGCCTTCCTGCGCCTGAGGCAGACTGAGCCCCTTGCGGCCGAACTGAGCGTCGAGGAGGGGAGCGGCTGCGGATGCGAGAGGAGGCACGTCTGGGAGAGGCAGGCCGAGCAGAGTGGCTCGCATCTGGTGCAGTGCCACGTACACCTGAGACAGAGGGAGGGCTTGAGTGTTTTAAAGAACTCTAAAAAAAACGCGTACGGCCACGCAGAGTGGCCCTCGTGTAGTGGAGCGCCAGCATCTGGTAACTTTTGAGTCGACTCAAAAGTCACCTTGTAGTGGAGCGCCAGCATCTGGTACCACAATGATCAGCCGTGATGCATCATTCAGTCCTTTCGAATCGGCACTTGTAGCACCCTCATTTGTTCCCTCAACCAGCAACCCAGCCTGACCCAACAGCCCACCTTCACCCAGCAGCTACATCAATCAACTAGCAACCCACCTTGACCACTGTGCGCATTCTCTCGCCATACGCTGCAGAAGACGAGTCACCTGCAGCAATCCAGTGAAAATATACCCAGAGGGTTGAAACGTTACATAAGTCATAGAACTCGAGTAACCAAGACATTGCACGCACGGTGTCGTGTAGTGGTTTCTGCAAAGCGAAAAACTGATGAAGACACTTGCACATGAGGCCAACACCAACGACAGCGCACCAAACCATGTCTCTGTACTCCACTCCACTGAACATGCACTCGGGACCTAGCAGGTGGGCTTTAAGAGGCTCGAAGTAGGTATTTCACGAACCGTCAGTGAGGAGGGGATGGAGGCTGGGCATGAGGACAAGAGAGGAGTCGTTGGCCAGAGTGGCTGATTCCAGTGCTGTTGTGGGAGGGACAGCAGGAGAGAGGAGTGGGGAGGGACATGCATGAGGAGAGGCGGAAAGAGTTGAGGGAGGATTGGGGAGGAGATGGAAGGTAGAGTGAAACAGCGAGTCGACATGGAGTGAAACAGTGACTCGAAGTGAAGAGGCAAGATGCAAAAGCAGGAGACAGAAGACAGGAAGAGGGGAAGAAGAGGAGTGAAGGAGTGCACATAGCGGCTTTTGAGGCGCCTCAAAAAGCAGGATGAGGGGAAGAAGAGGAGAGGCGCACCGGTGCACAGAGAGGAAATTGTGGGACAGTGAATGCACAAGTGGAGTTTCCACGTGAAATGAGGGTGTTTTTGAGACGTCTCAAAAACACTAGTTCATTACAGGCAACAACAAGTCAGCTAATAAGGGTGCAGCACACTGGTTCGTTGTGGCCAGCGAACACGTGCATTCTTGATTAGCTAGCGTTCTCGCGCATGCTCGCGACGACTTTTTTTCCCTAACACATACTCTCGACTTACGACCGTTTGAAAGGCGTGAAACTCAACGTTTTCACAACTGAGAGGGATCATCCATTTTTCAAAATTATTCAGCATATCCTAGCGAATATATGATGAATAGTTTCGAAAAATGGATGATCCCTCTCAGTTGTGAAAACGTTGCGTTTCACGCATTTCAAAAAGGTAGTAACTCGAGTATGTGTTGGGGAATAAAATTCGTCGCGACAGCGAGCATGCGCGAGAACGCAGGCTAATCAATGAAAGGCGCAGCAGAGCACATAGAGGAAATTGTGGGACAGTGAATGCACAAGTGGAGTTTTCGAACGTCTAAAAATAAACAGACGTTTAGAAACATGAAGGGAAGACGAGAGGAACACAGAGCTGCATCTCTTTCGATATGTATACCGCATCCACACACCCTAACGTCGCTCTGTACCTTTCCGGCATGCCTTCCACTCCTCCACCATAGCAGCAGGCAGCATGTCACACCAGCAGTCCAAGAGCTCCCCCACCAGGTCACCACGTGCCAGCTCATACGCGTGCTGCACAATGTGACATGGGAGGGGGGGAGACGGGACAACTCATACAAATTACATCAAGCTTCATGCTGCACAACCCGTACTATAACTCCCCCCACCAGGTCACCACGCGCCAGCTCATACGCGTGCTGCAGGAGGTGACATGGAAAGGGGGGAGCAGCAAATCATACATCGGCTTGTCATGCACAGGTACAGAGAGTAACTGAGAACTGCACATACAGAAGCAAACACAAGACCTGCGTACATACAGTGAGCAGCTTCTTGTGTGCTGACTGCAATCGATGGCTGGGCGGCAGCAGCTGGCGCAGCAGCCAGCCAGCGTGCCACAGGGCTTCAGGTGAGGGCGGCGGTCTCTTGCACAGCAGCACAAACACCGTGTCCACCACCTGGAGGTGGGGGGCGAGGAGGGGGGTGTGGTGGGGGGAGTGGGGGGGGGGGGGGGGGGAGAGTTTGGGGGAGGGGGAAGGAAGAGGGAAAATCACAATGTAAGCATGGCATCACACCACCACCCATTGATCTTGTGACCAAGCCATGGCCACCACGCACGCAATCATCACGTAAGCATGGCATGCCACCACACCACTGCACCATCGCGCACCTGTCGTCTCTTTCTGGAGTGCTGTTTCGATGACGGGGTGTCCGCCCCACCGCACCCACACGCTGAACACCTGAATGGAGATGCCTGAAAGAAGGGGGGGGGGGGGGGGGAGGAGGGGATGGGGTCACGCAGGAAAACACGTTCCGAGGCGTATTAAGACTCACTGCACTCTGAATCCTGATGACTGGGAGTGCAGTGCTTTCAAGGGAAAAGATCTGACTGAAAGATCGGTGGGCACCGGGGCTTGGGCAGAAGTGGGGCTAAGGTGAGATACACCCAGAAGCACTCTGGAACAACAAAGACTGCTCTCGTTTGCTCACCTTCCCCTCGGCTCGATCCCTCTGCTCATCCAGCACCGCGCCTCCTCCCCCTCCTCTCTCATCCCCCCTCTCTTCACCTCCTCTCCCCCTCCCCCCGCCATCACCATCACGCCCCCCTACTCCTTCACCCCCCTCCCCACCACCCCCTTCCCCGCCACCCCCCACAGCCATGAATCTACTCCCTAGCACCGGTCCTGCTCCTGCCCCCACTGCCCATCGCCCGCTGCCCGAACCTCGGCTGCTGCTGCCACACTCGCTGCACTCACCCCCGCTACTATCACCTCTTAACTCCGCCCTAGCTGCTACAGATGCTACAGATGATTCAGATGCTGAGCCGGCATCAGAACCTGCTGCTGGTGCTGGTGCTACAGCTGCATCTGCTCCTGATCCCAACGGTGCCTCTGCTGCTCCATGCGACAACCTATCAGCCTCCCTGCCCGCCTCTGCTCCTCCTCCTGCTCCCCCTCCAACCCCTCCCGCCTCTGCCTGCTCCCCCCCCTCCACTGCATCACTGTCCTGCCGCCTCAACAGCCGCTTCAGCTGCTCCTCTGATTGGTTGCCCACCAATGCTTCCTGCCATATGAGGGCATTGGAAGAGAGGGGGAGCAGTGCGAGGGTGGGAAGGGGACAGGGGCAATTTATTTCCAGCATAGATTTCACTGGGTGTGTTTTGAGTTGCCTCCAAGGTCAACACGAACTAGGGGGTAAAGGTCTCACGATGTGCCTTTGGGAGTCAGCAGTGAATGTCAATCCCACTACTGACAGCAAGAAGGCGAGCAAGGGCGAGTGAGCAAGGGACGACTGACAGCAAGAGGGCGAGAAAGAGCGAGTGAGTGAGCAAGGGGCGACTGACCACGAGGAGTCGTCGGTGGCGGCGGTTGCACGGCAGCATGCCCAGTTCCTCCAGTAACGAGTCGTGCACCGCTGGAGTGCACCGTGAGGGGGGGGGAGGGCAGGGTGGGCGGGATGGCGGGATGGGACGTGATGAGACTCATGAGAGAAGCGCGGTTGCACGGCAGCATGCCCAGCTCCTCCAATAACGAGTCGTGCACCGCTGGAGCGACCGTGAGGGGGGCAGGGTGGGAGGGTGGGAGGGATGGCGGGATGGTGGGATGGGACGTGATGAGACTAATGAGAGAAACGCTGTTGCCTGGTTGCATGCCCAGCTCCTCCAGTTACGAGTCCTGCACCGCTGCAGTGGCCGCAAGGGCAGCAAGGAGTCATTGCCCCTCCTTTTTCCTCAATACGAAGGAGGGGCAGCGATGGAAAGTTGCTGTCGTTGCCCCTCCTTTTTTCTCAATCTCCCTCCCTCATCAACTTTGTATCTCAAACACCCCAGCTAAAGACATTCCTCCTACCAAGCCTCATTTTCCCCCCTGCGGCCCTGCTCCGCCCACCTGTGTTTTGGAGCAGACCGCAGAGCACGCAGAGCGACGCCAACACCCACCGCTCGTTGTTGCACAGCAGGTACGACACTATCGTGTCCCTGAGGGTGAAAGACCGTAAAGGGCGGGAGGGAAAAGAGAGAGATTGGGGGATTGGGCAACAGTAACCACCGACGCCAGCACCCACCGCTCGTTGTTGCACAGTAGGTACGACACTATCGTATCCCTGGGGGAGGAGAAAGACCGAGCGCGAGAGATGAAGAAAGGTGGGAGATCGAGGAGGGAAAAGGGAGAGATTGGGAGAGTGGACAACGGGAAGCAACCACGCCAGCACCCACCGCCTGTTGTTGCAGAGTAGGTACGACACTATTGTGTCCCTGGGGGCGAGAGATTGAGGAGGGTGGGAGGTTAAGGATGGAGAAGAGAGGAATGCAGGAGTGAGTGACGGGAAACACCCATGCCAGCACCCACCGCTCAACGCCCGTTGTTGCACAGCAGGTACGATACTATCGTGTCGCTGGGGGCGAGAGACAATGGGTGGGAGATTGAGGAGGGGAAAGGGAAAGAGTGAAGCACAGACGTTGGAATAAGTTGGGTGACAGGGCACAAGACCAGTACTGGTGGCGCGTGGCGGGGGAGGAAGCATACCAGCACTGGTGGTAGCGGGGTATGCGGAGAGGAGTGGGTGAGGGAGGGGGAGAGGAGAGGTTGGAAAGACAGGGGAGGGGGAAGGGGGGCAGAGGAGGGAGTGGGGGGGCAGAGGAGGGGGTGGGGGTGCAGAGGAGGAGGTGGGGGTGCAGAGGAGTAGGTGGGGGGGCAGAGGAGGGGGCGGGGGTAGCAGCGGGGTTGGGGGGAGGGGAGGAGGGGGTGGGGGAGTAGAGGCGATGGTAGGGGAGCAGAGGCGGAACGGGAACAGAAGAACATACCAGGCGCTGGCGGTGGGTAGGCGCCTCAAAAACCGCCTCACTAGAAGGGGAACAGAAGAACATACCAGGCGCTGGCGGTGGGTAGGCGCCTCAAAAACCGCCTCACTAGAAGGGGAACAGAAGAACATACCAGGCGCTGGCGGTGGGTAGGCGCCTCAAAAACCGCCTCACTAGAAGGGGAACAGAAGAACATACCAGGCGCTGGCGGTGGGTAGGCGCCTCAAAAACCGCCTCACTAGAAGGGGAACAGAAGAACATACCAGGCGCTGGCGGTGGGATCAAGGTCCAGGATGATGGTCTCAGAGGCATGGCGTTGCTTCCTGTACGGGGAGCTCCTGAGAGGCGAGCTCCTGAGGGGAGAGCTCCTGAGGGGCGAGCTGAAGCTCCTCTGAACCGCATCCGAGCTCTCATTCAGCTGTGGGGAATCAAAGCTCTTGATGCGCTGCGGGGAGTCAGAGCTTTTGATTTGCTGTGGGGAGTCTGAGCTCTTGATACGCTGGGGCGAGTCGGTAAGGCTCCTGCTGCTGCCACTGCTCTGGGTCCTGAGGTGCCTGCGAGCCGACAGAGCCAGCCTGTCTCGTGCCGATGCTGACCGCACAACACCACTCCTACCACCATCCTCCGCACGATTCTTATCTTCCCCCTGCTTGCTTTCTCCCTCCTTCCTTCCCGCAACATACCCGTTCGGCGCATCTGCTGCCGCTACATCTTCCCTGCCCTCCCCTGTTCTCTCCCCTCCTCTCTCCCCTGCTTCCTCACTGCCCCCATCTCTGCCCTCCCTCCCTTCTAGCCCCTCTGTTAACGAGCCCCCAGGCGAGCCCGCAATTCCACGTCTAGCTGACAACGGCCACTTGCCCTTCTTCCCCTCTGCCCTATCTGCTGCTGAGGATTCTCCCAATTCCGCCACTCCTCCTGCACTCGCCCCTCCATCCCTCTCCTCTGCTGCTGCTGCAGTTGCAGAAGGTGGGGAGACTATGCCTTGTGCAGCAGAAGCAGAAGCAGGGGTTGTAAGGTGAGCAGGAGGGGGGACTGGAGGTCTTGCAGAGAGGTGATGGGTATCAGACAACCTGTGACCTGCTGTTGCTGCTCCTGCTGTGCCTGCCACTGCAGCCACTGCTCCTACCAATGCTGCTGCCGCACTACCAGCACCACCAGACGCTCCTTCCCTCCCTTTCCCTACACCAAACTCGCTATCCTGAACCCCGAAATCCGCAGATGCACTTCTGCTCCTCCTCACCTGCTGCTTCTCCTGCCTTTTCTCCTGCAGTTTCTCCTGATGCTTCTCCTGCGGTTTCCCCTGCTGCTGCTGTTGGAATTCATACAGCTGCGGCAGCACCCCATCGGAGCCAGCAGGGCTGGCGGAGAGGGAGGCGGCGATGGAGCGGGTGGCGGCGTCGAGGAAGGGGCGGTAGGTCACCACGTGCAGCACACGCGACAGCAGGTACATGGCACACAGCGGGGATATGCGCTTCGCCTGGAACAGCGGGAAGGGATGAGGGGGGCGAGAGATGAGCAGGGATGAAGGGGGCGGGATGAGGGATTGGAGATACGGAGCCATTCAGAGGAGGAGAGGAGGGACGAAGCAATGCATGGGTCAGACAGACATCCGCTCCACACTCACATTTGGGGAGCCAGACTCAGGGGAGAGCGAGGCGAGGAGCACGGGGAAGACCCAGATGCTGAGGAGGTGCTCCGAGACGACCTCTGAGAGCTGTGGGATGCCGGCGCTCATGACGTCGTTGCAGTAGTACAGCAGATCGCCTATCTCAGCTATGGACGCCTCCACTCGCCCCACGTCCACTATCGACCCAAAGTTCCTGTGTTCAGGTGTGCGGGTGGGTGGGTTGGGGGTGGGGGAATGCGGGAAGGGAGGAGACACGGGTGGGTGAGCCGGCGCTCTCATGAGGTGGTTGCAGTAGTAGACCAGCTCTGACTGAGGGTGTGGCTTATCCAGCAAAGTGCCTATTCACTCTCTCATTCACCCATGCCCCCATGCACCCGTGACCCATCCACCTGACAGGGTTGGTGGCGACGAGGCGGGCGAGAGTGAAGCTCTGCTGATGGCGTAGTGTATGTTTTTTTAGAATCCTCAAAAAACATACTCTGCTGATGGCTGGCTGTCCATGCCCACCTACCCATCCACCCCACCAATTCAGTCACTCATCCAACCATGTCAACTTGCACTTGCACCCACCCACCCACCCACCTGACAGCATTGGCAACGAGGCGAGCAAGAGTGAAGCTCTGCTGGCGCACGAAGATGGCGAGGTCCTCAAAGTACCGGATGGCCGACGGGCTCAGCACAAAGCAGTTGGCGCGCTCGTCGTGCACTGGTGGGGGAGGGAAGGAGGTGGGGAGTGGAGGATGAACGGGCAACGTGAAGATGGCGAGGTCCTCAAAGTACCGGATGGCCGACGGGCTCAGCACAAAGCGGTTGGCCTGCTCGTCGTGCACTGGTGGGCGAGGGAAGGAGGTGGGGACGGGAGGATGAATGAAAGGGCAACGTGAACAAAGTACCGGATGGGATGGCCGATGGGCTCAGCACAAAGCGGTTGGCTCGCTCGTCGTGCACTGGTGGGGAGAGGATGAAGGGTGGGGAGGGGAGGGAGGGAGGGGGAGGAGGAAGTGGTTTGGATGAAAGGGCGATGTGAAGAACCCGGCACAGCACAGTGTGAGTCATGCGCTGGTGGGGATGACAAGGTGGGTGCGGTGCGGAGGATGGATGGCAGGGGACGGATGGGAGGTGACCAAAGGGTTTCATGCAAGGAACGAACAGATGGAGGAGGGAGAGAAATGGCATACCATTGTAGATGGTGAGGGTGAGAGTGCGGACGGCGATGCGGACCATGCTCTCCTCGTGGTGGAAGAAACGGATTGCCTCCACGTACAGGGGGAAGGCGCTGCTGCCATCCTGCATTCATCCATGCAGTATGTACACATCGTTTATTCCAGTGGTAAAGCAGCATGACACACGAACACACTTCTAGTGCTATTGCTACTGTTACTGGTTCGGTTCGGTTCGGTACAGTGTGGTTGTGTGTGTGTGGCGCACCTCCTTTTCCACAATGAAGTAGGAGATGGTTGACTTGTCCAGCTTCATGCTCAGCGTTCTGCAGTGGGAGGGAGGGGGGGCATGCGGACAGACAGACACATGGAGCACGTGCAGGCATGCGTGTGCAAATGCGCTTCTATGCTTGATCCGAAATGCATGTGCTGTGCATGCGCACATGGGCATGATACGAATCTGACGGTAAGCAGATCAAGCGCAGTGCTTGATTGGTTGGGACCATGGATTTCTTGGCAAGAAACTGAAGGCACATGAAGGCTGTGGTAGAATTCAGGGCCAAGGTATAAGCTCGCTCTTCAATGAAGACAAAAGGACCGTGGATTGGAGAATAAGAAATGGTGGGGATTCGGGAAGCACACAAGAGGTGGTCGGTCACTCACTTGAGGAAGGAGATGTAATAGGCGAGCAGTTCCTCATCAGAGAAGTCAAAGGGGAAGGAGATGACGTTGTTGATGTGCTCCTTGCTGAACATGTAGTCTGCCGGGCCATGGTGTGGTGTGGGTGGGGTCAGGAGGGAGCAGGAAGTGAAAAAAGTGGGGGGTTGAAGAGTGCAAAAGGGTTCGATCGAGTGGAGGAGATTCGAGGTGGAACAAAGGAGATGACGTTGTTGATGTGCTCCTTGCTGAACATGTAGTCTGCCGGCCCATGGTGTGTGTGTGGTGTAGAGTGGCGGTGGGGGAGTGACGGGGAAAAAGGGATTGGGAGGTTGATGGCAACAACGATGTGGTGCCCCTTGATGCCATGGGCCATGGGAGCACATCGTTGATGGCATCAGCAGTGTTGTTGGGTGAGCAGGTGAGAGGGGGAGTGGAATAGGTGGGGCAAGGGAATGGGGTGTAGACGAGGTGAGGGTTGCTGAAGTGGAGTGGCTTCAGAATTATGCACCTTGCTATACATGCAATCGTGAGGTTTGCAATGTGCGAGGAAGAAGGGAAAGGGGGTGGCGGAGGGCGTGGGGGGAGGGGGGGGGGAGGGAAGGGGACGGAGGCCGATGGTGTTGAATATGTGCTCCTTGCTGGGAATGCAGTCAGGGTGGGGAAGTTAGGTAAGGGAGTCGGATGGCATTGCCAATGCGCTGGGGGCTGGAGAGGTAGCCTGTTGGCAAGAGCCAACAAGGGCAGGGCCAGTGGAGGATGCAGTGACGAACACACTCACAGATGGCCTTTTCGCTCTTGAGGTTCCGGGTCATGAGGTTGAGCGACTATAGGAACCCGTTCCCTGCCCACTCACAGATGGCCTTTTCGCTCTTGAGGTTCTGAATCATGAGGTTGAGCGTCTGCAGCAGCTGCACCATGACCCCCTCGCACTGTGGCGACGGCTGATTGGCCAGCGCCATGATGCGGATGAACTGCGCGAACACGCCCTGCTCCACAAAGAACCTGCGCACCGCAGGTGAGTGGTTGGGCGGAGACAAGGTTGAGAGTGAGACAAAAAACACGCCCTGCTCCAGGAAGAGCCTCCGGGAAGCAGGCGAGTGAAACAAAAGCACGTTTGAAAAGCAGAGCTCGGGGTACGGAACTACCTAGAAGAGCATTTAATCTGGATAGCTATCGTAAGAGACCGTGACTCGTACGGGTTCGCAACCAGACAAATGTTTATAAACTGAAGGAATGGGATCAGAAACGCGATACCACCAATACTCTGCTCTCCTGAGCTTACTCGAAAAATGCAGGCTCGTGCTGGTCCCCCCATATCATCAGCTCCGCTATAGACCTCAATGTCTCCACTACAGTGTCCTGATGGAACCAAAATGCGAACATGAACAGCTCTAGCGACAAGGATTAAGAAGCGAGGAGGTAAGCCATGGGCAAATCGGAAACACGGAGGCAATACTCTTCTCTATGAGCTCTTCGGACAGAATCACTGGGAGCGAGACACTTTCAAACAAGGCTGGTGTCTACAAAGTACGGTGAAATAGGGTTGTAAAGCACGTTATGATGCTCGTATCGCGACATGGCTGATTTCGAACGAACCTTGTTCGCATCGCTGATGATTGCGTGTTTCTGAAGCACGTCATTGAGATGCCTGAGTAGAGAATAAGCAAGGAAGTAAAGGAGGCCCGGAAATCAGTTGACTAAGCAAACAACGAAGTGAACAGACTAGAAGCTGTAGGTAAAATATTCAGAAGCTGTATTAAATCGCACATCGACCGCCTCGCTTCCTTATCTTTCTACAAGCTATAAACGACGACGCTTACTTCAACTCTTCGAGCGAGAAGCGCTCTCGCTGTTTTCCCCAGATCGCCCACATGATGCACCACCGCTCTCACTGGGACTCGTTCCGCGCAGGCGAGAAACGACTCCGCACCTAAAAACACCTAGCCCCGCGTCGCATCAGAGAATCCACGACACGCCTCTGTACGATTAACTAATCTTCACGAAGGATGCCGGGGCAAGGAAACAAGGACGGCAGTAAGAACTGACAAACCGAGAGACTAGTCAGCAGCAGCTGCAATGTTTCTTTATTGGCTAGGGGTCGTTAGTCAACAATGTGGGGTGTGTGAAAATAAGTGGGGGGTGGGCAATGATGCTAGCGCGTGCGATTGTGATGGTCAAGCGTGGAAGCAGAGCAGCGGATGTTGCGTTTGATTCGGTTTCAGAAAGATTCTTTGCGTTCCAGAGCGGTCAAAGTAATGAAATGTTTGACAGGGAACGTTGGGTTGGGTCCCACACGAGCAGGAGGTAATGGGGGGATGGGGGTGAATGGTTGGTCGGACCTCGATATTGTCCCAGGTATTGGCGGAAAGTGAAACGGGCTAGTGGACAAGCCTTTGGACGTGACTTGAGCGAGCAAACGCAACAAATGAATGCACAGTGTAAAGGACATGTGCACTTCAATCCTCTCACAACAACTTTCAAGTTACATAACAAAAATACCCAGTTATTGAACCTCAGGAAGAGGGGGGCAAGGTACTATACTGGTCACGTTTACTTAATGTCTTTGTTAAAAACAAAAAAACACACACAAAAAAACACTCAGTGATGCGACACTCCATCATCGTCCCTAGGGTATTTTTGCCTAAAAGGGTCTAAACCTAGTAAAACCGCGTGATGATTTGGAACTCATCATCCTCCATCACCCGAACATCCTTGGCCCCTGGGAAGTGCTCCAACCCAATCTCATGCACAATGTCCACAAACTTCTGCCGGCTCTCCTTATTCAGCGGCACATACGGTAGGCGGAAGACAGGTCTGACGAGCCCAAGCTGGCACAGTGCAGTGTTGAGGCCGATGGGGTTTGGCTCCACGAACAGCCAGTTCACTAGAGGAGCAATTTTCGCATTCAGCTCTGGATTTGGGCCCTTGAGCAGCTGGGTCACGAGTCCTGTGACATGAAAGCCACGTCGGAAGCAACATCAAGTGATGGGGAAAGAAGAACATTTGAGTGTCGTACATATGCAAATGTCAGGAAACGAGGGGATCAGAAAACCAGAACCTGGAATACAGGGAACGAAGAAGCTTGCCTGGAACGAGATTGCTGACGACGGAGATGACGCCTTGACTGCCGTGGTTCCACTTGGCATCATGAAACTGGTCGTCATTGCCGCTCCACGCCACAATGCCCTTCTTCGCGTACCCGTGGATGCGGTCATTGCCCGCACATTCCTTCACCCCGGCAAAGTTCTCGTGCTTCGCGATGGCCTCAATGACTGACGGAGGGATGTCCTGCCCCGTTCTGCCCGGCACATTGTACACAATGGCCGGGCCCATGGGCAGCACCACACTGTCAGGGGAGAAGGAGAGGGGGGCAGGGCGGTGGAAAGGGGGTTCGCTCAGGAGTCAGAACAATGGCAGGTACGTTGTACACGATGGATGGGCTAATGGGCAGCACCACACTGCAGGGAAGGCGGGGAAGGGGAGGACGGGAAGGGGAGGTGGGGAAGAGGGGTGGAGGGGGGAGTGGGAGCACTCAGAACAATGGCAGGCACCTTGTAGACGATGGATGGGCTAATGGGCAGCACCACACTGCAGGGGAGGCGGGGAAGTTGGGAGGAGGTGAGGGGGAGGGCACTCATGAGTCAGGACAATGGCTTGCACTTCCTACACAATGCCTGACCCAAGGGTAGGACCACATTGCAGGGGAAGCGGGGAAGGGGCGGGAAGTGGGGGGTGGGGATCACTCAGAACAATGCCTGCCTGGCACGTTGTACACAATGCACTCAGGTGCCTCATAAGAACCCACCGCGGTGCCTCAGGCGCCCCTGTTGTCAAGTGCTTCAGAACCCACCGCGAATGCTGAAGAGCCTCTGGGTGCCTCAGAACTCACCGTCTGGTCATTGAATTAACGCGAAATATAAAGAGCCTCAACCATTGGCAGAGGCGGAAGGGCGTGAACTTACTCAAAGTGGCTCCGCAGTCCGTCCAGCGACGTCTTGCCGTAGTAGGGGTTGATCTGCAGCGCCGCGTGCATGCCCACAGCGAAACCCTGCTCCGTGGCGTGCATGGCCTCGCGCGTGCTGTTGCTGCCCGTGTTGCCCACGATCTTGAGCTTGTTCCCGAAGCAGTACACCGAGTGCGCGATCAGCATCACGTGCTCGTCCCAGCTCATCAGGTGCCCCTCGCCCGTCGTCCCGCCCACAATCAACCCCTCTGCACCGTTCTCAATCTGGTGGTGCACCAGCTCGTCGTACGCGTCCAGGTCGAAGCGACCGTCCGGGAGGTACGGTGTTTTGATGGCCGTTATGAGCGAGAGCGCCTTGATCTGCTCAATATGCGGCCTGCGGAGGAGGGAGACGGAGAAGCAACGGAAGTAAGTAACGGATCGGGGGGAGGGGAAGGGGGAATATAGAATGTGAGTTGGGACAAGGGCCGTGATCTGCTTGATGTGTGGATTGCGGGGAATGGAGAGGAGAGACGACGGAGGGAAGGAGGGGGTTGGTGGGTGGGAGGGGAGAAGTAGAGGTGTGAGTTGGATTGAGACCTCGATCCGATCGACGCGTGGGAGAGAGAGGGATGGTGGGGATGGAGTAAGGGGAGGGAGTTTTGAGACGTCACAAAACTCAAAACTGCTCCGATACAAAATCACCCTCTGACAGCGGAAGGACTCTGGCGTAAAGACCATTCAAGATAAGGCGGAAAAGAAACTTATCCAAAAGTAATGTTTCCCACCTGTTTGTTCCAATGTTAATTACGTTTGATGGTTGCGCAACATCACACAGGTTCTAGCCATTCACTCAGTTTCGCGTTCCGGTGCTAATTCATAACTTCCAGCCAGACCGAGTTGCGGCCGAAATCATAAAAGCATCGTGGACGTGCCGCCGCTCTAGAACGGCACACACGGAAAATAAAAATAAAAATCCGCACCCTCCCGTCTGCTCCTCCTACCCGGCGTGCGAGCCCGAAGAACCTTCCAATTACCTCCTCATTTCGAAACCTGGAATCAAGGAGGCTAAAAAAGCTGCAGTACTCGAAGACCAGACCGACAGGCCAAGGTCATGGCTTACACAGTCACAGCCAGGTGTACAAGGGTTTAGAGCTCTTTTTTTGTTTCCAACTTTGCGAGATATTGGAAGTTTAACGTACAGGTTTCGCTCCTCGTGGCTTTTCATGGGTACAGGCGCCGACTCCATCATCGCTGCACGCAGCGACAGCCGACAGCCGTTGGATCTCCGGCTGCTCGCCGCGTTCAACGGCATCGTTACGGCGTTCGCGAATTCTGCACTCCTCGTGAACGATGAATGTCCTAGCTTGACATCACGGTACCGCACGGCTCCCAAATCCAGGGACATGCTGGCAGCCATGACCGGCGGTTGCGGGAGGACAGGGAAGATGACTGACGCACTCGTTAGAGGAAAGCCAGTTGAGCTGACTCTGGTCTGGGTTGTTCGGAGCCAGTACTAGTATCAAAGAGCAACGTTGTCCCGAAAAAGGATGGTTTGAGGTTGTAGGCACAGCAGTGGAGAGTAGAACTCCGAGCAAATGGTATTCCTGCAAACGAATTATGAGCTTTTGTGAGGGGAGGAAAACGAGATGAAATCTAGAGGTGGGGTCAAATTTGAGGCGAAGGTTTAGCCTCACGGGATAAGCTCTGCCAGCACAAAGCTCCCTATTTCGCGTGGAAATCTGCCACCCAAACTCCCTTTCCAGGTCTGCCCGGTGTTTTTCGTGCTTTCCATTGGTTGACAGCGAGAGAAAAAATGTGAAAGCAGACCGAGATTCGACCTGCGCGCCCAATCAGAGTGACTTTGCTCCCTGACGTGGAGGAGCGCTCGAATGGGTGTGTAAATCCGGCCAGGTTTTTGATTGGACAGGGCTTTTCAGCCGGAATTGATGCGTAAATCCGCTCAAGAGCAAAATCCTCTATTTGGCTAGAACCGGGAATTCTGATGCATGCAGTGCCTGGAGAATGTGGGTTTCAATATACTTATGGTATACGAAAACTGCACGAGCAGAGACAATGGTGGAACCACCATATCTTTCCTGCCTGCTTGGGAAACTGTAGATTACTCCTAACGGCTGGTTCCTGGCTAGGTCGATGGGCTACTGGCTAAACCAAATGAGTTTGAAAGTTCGGCAGTGTTATTGAGCCAAGAAGACTACACATGCCCCAGCAAAGTCATCTATGGCTTCCATTCGACCTGCGCAGTCCTTGAAACTTTTGGGAAGCACTGGACTGGAGCCCTTTCACAGACTAATTGAGGATGATACGCCTACATACACTTGACCCTAACCCACCCTGTTAGAACGGCACTACCTCATGGTGTGTGTGAGGAATTTTCATTTCCTAAGCACTGGAATGAAGGGCGAAATTTCCCTCTCAAGCTCCTCCATGCTCCTCTCAAGCTGCTCCTGGAAATCCCTATCATCCTCCGTCACGGCCCGCCCGTGCACCGCCACCGCCCGCTTGCACACCACCACAAACCGCACGATCGCATCCGACAATGTCTCAACACCCGACGGTGACTGAAGCTTCGACGGGTCCTTGGGCCTCGGCTCTTGGCCATGAGGATTGGCCTCGTAGAAAGCCATACATACACCCAGCACCCCGCTGTTAACCTGCAGTGCAACACTCCCTTGCAGCAACCGCTGCAGCGTCTGTATCCGAGGCAACCGTAGTGTCCCGCCGGCTGTTGCAGCTGCTGCGATCAGTGCCGTCACTGCTGCAGGGTCCTGTGGCACGCGTCCCCCTCCTCCTCCTCCTGCTCCTCCCATTCCTCCCCCTCCTCCTCCCGCAGCTCCCAGCTGGCTCGCCATTTCCATCTCTAGCGCGTGCGACCTGTTTTCAATAATCTCCACGGCGCATTGCAGCGGCGAGTACTCCCGAACCTCCGACCGAACCACCGGCTGCCGGCTGATCAGGCTCGGCAGCGTGCTCTGGGTGTACACCAGCGTCCGCCTCTTCCACTGGTCCTCCATCCGACCGTGCTGCTTCCCGTTCGGCGTGAACGGCGTGTCGAAAAAGAAACAGTTAAACACCGGAGCTCCGGCCACGGCTGGGTCGATGGTACGGCCGAGCCAGCGGTCCTCGCCGATCCCAATGACAGGCTCGACGGCGGTGATCTGCATGTAGACGAAGCCGGGCTTGAGGGCGGCAGGGTCCACCTGGCGCGAGTCCTGGATGACGTGGAGCGGCTCCTCATCGGGCTCGCGCGCATCGTAGAGCGATTTGAGCTTCTCCATTATGTCTCCCAGCCGTACCTCCCGAGGCTCCCGATAGATGAACTCTCTGTGGTTGACAAGGGGATTGGCATGGAGACATGCATGGAAAAGAGGCTTCGTGCTGCATAGCCAGGGTTCAGCCCCTTCATTATGTCTCCCAGTCGTACCTCCCGAGGTTCCCGGTAGATAAATTCCCTGTGGTTGACAAGGGGAATGGCATAGAGACGTGCATGAGAAAAAGGCTTCTCTTTGCATAGCCAGGGTTCAGCTTATCTAATATGTCACCCAGCCGTACCTCCCGAGGTTCCTGGTAGATGAACACCCTGCAGGTGGATGGGAAATGAAAGAGGATGGCATGGCAATGAGCGTGTGGATGGGAAGCAGATGCTGTGCAGATTGTAAGTCGATTAGACAATACCGAGAGGATAGGTTGGATGAGGACGAATGAACATTGTAGCAACCCAGGGCCGGCAAGGGGCTCCAAAAGGCACACCTACCATCAATGTGACCAAATAGCTCACCTGCCATCAATGTGACCAAATAGCTCACCTGCCATCAATGTGACCAAATAGCTCACCTGCCATCAATGTATCCGAATCGCTCCCCATAAAAGCCGACTCGATAGTATGTTGCGTCCTTGAAGGGGATTGGGTTCTGCTCCTGCGCCAACACGTTGTCGTAGATGCCTGAGAGTGACGTGTGGCACTTGGACAGCTGCACACGGGAACAAGAGAGGGACGCAGAGAGAAATAACGATCAGGAGTGTGAAGCAGGAAGGGGCAGGGCAGGTGTGCAGCTGCAGCTAGCTAGATGCCTGAGAGCGTCGTGTGGCACTTGGACAGCTGCATATGGGAACAAGAGGGATGTAGAGAGTAGGAATGTGAGTGAAGGGAGAGAGGAAGGGGGGCTCAATACTCATGATGTGTCGCTTTGTCGTAGATGCCTGAGAGCAACACGGAGGTGAGGAGAATAGATGTGTGAAGGGGGGAGTGGAGGTGGGGGTGGACGGGGAGGAGGAAGATGGTTTTTTTAGCGTATTCTCACACACATGCACAACCCCCGGAACAGGCAACAACTGGATGACCCTGCTACCAGGGGAGACACACGTATTATTATTTTGAGTCAACTAAAAAAGGGAGCCATCCTTACCTGGTAGAATTCGTGGCGGAAGCGGAAGACGGGGATGGCTCTTACCTGGTGAGGGAGAGCATCTCGGCGCAGAAGTGGAAAAGCTCTCAGCACACGCCTGGCAATGTACACTGCATGCGTACTAAGGAACGCCCTGAACGCACGCACACACAGCCCCAGAGGGACACGAACCTGGTAGAATTCACGTGGTGATGCTGCCATCCTCACCTGGAAGAAATCCCGGCGGAAGCGGAAGACGGGGATGGTGAGGGAGAGCATTTCAGCGCAGAAGTGGAAGAGCTCGGCCTTGGCAAAGAAGCTGGACGCCATCTGCAGGTACTTCACCGCACTGTCCGTGTTCAGACACGTCGCCCCAAACTCACTCTCCCCTCCCCCTGCTGCTGCCGCGCCTGTGCTTCCCCCGCCTGCAGCGCCCTTGGAGGCGTTGGGGAGGCGGGGGCGGGCGGAGGGGCGCGAGGGACGTGCTCGCCACTGGTGGCGGGCCAGAGGGCAGACTCGCCAGAGCAGCTCTAGGTGCTCAGCCTCCCACGCGCACTCCCGCGTCGTGGACGCGTGCAGACCCTGCGGTGCGGTGCGGTGCGGTGGGGACGGGAGATGAGAGGGACAATGAAGTTTGTGAGTGAGGGTGGCTGGTTAACCTTTAATATGGTGCCAGTGGCAGTGGTACCGCCCCCTGTACTGGTGGCAAGCGAGGGGGCGGATCCGCCAGAGCAGCTCCAGGTGCTCGGCTTCTCACGCGCACTCCCGCGTGGTGGACGCGTGCAGGCAGGCCCTGCCGTGCAGTGAGACAGGGCATGAGGAGGAGGGGGACAAGGCAATGTGATTTGTTCTAAGCATGTGCAATGGGAGTCGCCCAGGCAAGCACGATCCAATTCCCCACAACCAACCTAGTACCTACCACCCAACCCCCCCCCAGCCCTTCAGCCCTACCCAATCCAATTCATCAGCTGTGTGGCTCACCCGGATAACCACCCCAGCCACGGAGACAGCGCACTGGGCGGCCTCGGCCCACTGGCTCATCTCCTGGTGAGCCTCACAGAGGTGCAGCATCCACATGATGTACAGATCCGGCACGTGCCCGTACGCCTGTGCCAGGATGTAGTAGCTCTCCACTATGGCGTACCGGTCGTTGGACGTCTTCAGCCCCTCCATCTGCCCCGGGCAGGTGGCACGGGGTGGGTGCGACCGGGTGGGGGGAAGGACAGAAGTGGACTTTGAGGCACGTGCCCATATGCCTGTGCCAGGATGTAGTAGCTCTCCACTATGGCGTAGCGGTCATTGGACGTTTTCAGCCCCTCCATCTGCATGCATGCATGGTTGGACGGGACGGGGTGGGTGGGAGCACGGAAGAGGGGATTAAAGGGCGGCATTCAACATGTGCCTGCCTGCGCCAAGATGTAGTAGCTCTCCACAATGGCGTACCGGTCGTTGGACGTCTTCAGCCCCTCCATCTGCGGAGGGAAGTGGAAGGAGGGTCGCAGGGAGAGGAAAGACAGGAAGGAGAATCACAGGGATTTTTTTCGTGTGGGAGAGGGGATTTTTTCAGTTGCTGGAGCTGCAATGCCGCATCCACCAGGGTGAGCAGCATACCCCCACAACAACTCCTGAACCTGCCTTGAACACGCCACTGACTCACCAGCTGCTCGTGCTGTGAAGCAGCGTCCACCACGGGGAGCAGCATGTCCTGCAGCTCATCCACAACGTCCTTCCTCCACCTGAGTACCCCATTGAGTGATCACCTACTCGTGCTGTTGTAAAGCATTACTCTTACCAGCTGCTCATGCTGTGAAGCAGCGTCCACAACAGTGAGCAGCATGTCCTGCAGCTCATCCACGTTCTTCCTCGACCACCGGTCCCGAATCCTCCTCTCCCTCCTCCTCCCCCTCCTCCCCCTCCTCCGCCTCCTCCTCCTCCCATTCTCCCCGTCAAACTCATCCAAATCATCAAATTCTTCCTCCTCATCCTCCTCCTCATCATAATCATCGTCCTCCTCATCATCCTCCTCATCCTCCTCCTCCTCCTCTTCATCCTCCTCATCCGCCTCCTCATCCCCCACCATGATCTCAAGGCACATGTCTGGTAGCCCGCTCTCTGCCAGCAGCCCGAACCACGTCTCCTCCGAGCCTAGCTCCTCCAATGAGAAGCGCAGCCGCTCCACCTCGAGAGACTCGGTGATCTCCCCGGGCCTGGCGCCGCGCTGCAGCAGGCGCAGCTGCATCATGACCTCTGAAAGGGCGACGGTGAGGATGACCCGCAGGTGGTGCACGTTGCCCATGTGCAGCAGGGCCGTCTGGAAGGGATTGGAGGGGTAAGGGGGGTAGGAAAGGGTTGGAGCGTGGACGGAGGTAAGAAGGCAATAGCAGGCGCAGCTGCATCATGACCTCGGGGAGAGCGACATTGAGGATGACTCTAAGGTGGTGCACGTTGCCCATGTGCAGCAGGGCCGTCTGGGTATGGGTGGGGGAGATTGGAGAGAGTGCTTGAGGGAAAGAAGGTAACACCGCAGGCACAGCCGCGCAGCTGCATCATGACTTCGGAGAGAGAAACTGTGAGGATGACCCGCAGGTGGTGCACGTTTCCCATGTGCAGCAGGGCCGTCTGGATGGGATTGGGGGAAGAAGGGGGGTAGGAAGGGGTTGGAGAGCGTGCACGGCGGTGAGAAGGCAATAGCAGGCGCAGCTGCATGATGACCTCGGGGAGAGCGACTGTGAGGATGACCCTCAGGTGGTGCACGTTGCCCATTTGCAGCAGAGCCGTCTGGATGCGATTGGAGGGGGAGTTGAAGAGGGACGACAACAGCCAGCGGCTCAAGTAGCAAGGCTCGGATAGTGGGCAGATGGTGGAAGGAGCTTGATGTTCAGTGAGGGAAGGGAGAGAGGAGAGCGGGAAGCCGTATGCTTCCCCAGCTGTGTGGTTGCAGTCAACTACCAGATACTTTTGTGGGGAGCACTTTATACCCGAGTCCAACCATACCCCCAACTCACCCGCAGCAGCAGCAGCAGGCAGAGCAGAGCTCGCTTGCGCACGAACTCGGGCTTCACGATGAGTCGTTTGAGCAGGTTGCCAAACATCGCCCTGCCTTGACACTTCGAGCTCTGCTGATCTCTGCTGTTTCTGGGTCCTCTCAACCCCTCAGTCAACTCACCCGGAGCAGCAGCAGCAGGCAGAGCAGTGCTCGCTTGCGCACAAACTCGGGCTTCACAATGAGGCGCTTGAGCAGGTTGCCAAACATGTCCTTGAGCCGCGCATCGTTCGCCTTGCTGCTCGCCAGCATCGCCCTGCCGTGCAGCCGCAGCATCTCTGCAAACGCCGGCACAAACACCTCCCAGAAGGACACCGGCTGCCGAGGAGTAGACCAAGGGGACAGACGAATTGGGCAGCAGAATAGGTGGCAGAGGTTATTACTTGTAAGTGCGAAATGTCTGACAACTCTGGCAAAAAGCAGGCACAGTGCTTTCTGCCTCCAGGTGTTACCTAAGGCAGGCTAAGGGAAGGGCACAGGTGTTACTTGTGGCATGCTGAGGACAAGTGTTACCTGGTGCAGGCTGAAAGCAGGCGTTCCTGAGGCAGGCTGAGGGCGGGTGTTACCTGGGGCATGCTGAGGAGGGCGGAGATGGGGCCTGTGAGGCAGTCCATGGTGTCATACTCCGTGACCACCGCCCCCTCCGCTGCCAGGTCGCTGAACTGCTGGGGCAGGCTGAGAGCGGGCGTTACCTGGGGCAGGCTTACCTGAGGCATGCTGAGAAGCGCAGAGATGGGGCCAGTGAGGCAGTCCATTGTGTCATACTCCGTCACCACCGCGCCCTCTGCTGCCAGGTCGCTGAACTGCTCCAACACCTCCAGCACCTGCAGTGACACCCACCCCGCCATCGTTGCCTCCCACATGGCCTGGTCGAGGAGGGGAAGAGACGAGGGGGGGAGGCGGGGGGTATACAGCAGGGGAAAGGAGAAGTTGCAACCAGGTAGGTCGCTGAACTGCTCCAACACCTCCAGTGACACCCACCCTGCCATGGTTGCCTTGCCTCCCACATGGCCTGGGGTGCGTGGGATGGAGAAATGCACAAGAAAGGGTCGAGATGAGGAAGGAGGGAGAGGCAGCACTCCTCACCTAACTGCTCCAGCACCTCCAGTACCTGCAGTACCTGCAGTGCAGGGATACCCACCCTGCCATCGCCGCTTCCCGCATGGCCTGAGCTGAGAGGGGTGAGGGTGATGGAAAGGCAAGGGGTGAAAAGAAGTGAAAAGTGCTTGAATACTATACCCCCCAAAACGGCTGCTGTATTTTAAGAATTTTCAAAGGAATCTACAAGCTGAAGTCTGGTCAAGGGAGAAGAGGGGGAAACGCCTAAGCCCGATTTGACAACCATAAGGATGATTCAAATCGGCTCACTCACCAGCTTCTCGGAAGCAATGGGCGGCAAGCCTTGTCTGAGAATGGTCATGGCTTCCAGAGGCGCCACCCGGGCGCGCCTCAGCTCCTCCCGTAACGGCACTGGCGGCCGGGCAGTAGGCGGTGGTGGTGCGGCAGTGGAGGATACACCACTGTACTTGCGCACCAGCTGCTCCCGCTCGCCACTCCCCTGAAGAAGAGTGGGGGATTAGGGGGGGAAAGGGACAGAAGAGCAGAAGAATGGGGGTTGGGACAGCAGTAGGCTGTGGTGGTGCAGCGGTGGAGGATACGCCACTGTACTTGCGCACCAGCTGCTCCCGCTCGCCACTCCCCTGAGGGATGAAAGAGGGAAAGGGGCAAAAGAGCAGAGGGACGGGGAAGGGAGGGGTGGTTTGCTGCAATGGTGCGGCAGTGGAGAATAGCCCGCTGTACTTCTAGGTCGACAGTGGAGACTTCTAGGTGGACCCACAGCACCCTCCTCCCAAACCCAACCACAGCACAGCACTCACTCTCCCCACCTTGGGATCTGACAGCGCCATGTTGTCAAGTGGGTCGCTGGCTTGGCGGACAGAGAGACTTCTAGGTCGACTCACAGCACCGTCCTCCCAAACCCACCCGCAGCACAGCACTCACTCTCCCCACCTTGGGATCTGCGAGCGCCATGCTGTCAAGTGAGTCATTGGCGGACAGAGAGACCCGGTCGGAGTAGAGTGGGAAGGCGGGCAGCTCCCCCTCACTGCTGCCCTTGCGCCCCTTGCCGTCCAGGCTGTGACGGTTTATCACCCCAAAATGCCCTCCCTTTACTCACCTTGGGATCTGCGAGCGCCATGCTGTCAAGTGAGTCATTGGCGGACAGGGAGACCCGGTCTGAGTAGAGTGGGAAGGCGGGCAGCTCCCCCTCACTGCCCCCCTTGCGCCCCTTGCCGTCCAGGCTGTGATGGTTGCGCACCACTGCGCCCAGCTCGCCCGTGCTCACCCCCGTGCGCCCCGTGTACTGTCGGGGTTGAGGGGTGGAGAAGGTGTGGGGGAAGGTGTGGAGAAAACAGATGAGCTCCCCTTGTGCCCCCCTTTGCCGTCCAGGCTGTGATGGTTGCGCACCACTGCCCCCAGCTCCCCGTGCTCACTCCTGTGCGACCCGTGTACTGGTGAGGAGAGGAAGGGTGGACGGTGGGTGAGGAGAAGAGAGAAGGGGGATGGTGGGGGGTAGATCAACGGAGACTGAGAAGAAAGAGAGTTGAAAGAAAACAAAAGCACACAAAGAACGCAAAGCACTGTCCAACTGAGAGGACGAACGACTCATGCAGCAGCGAAAGCAGGGGGCGGCACACGGTGTGGCGGGGCGGCAGCCCTCACCTGGAAAAGGAAGAGTGACTCCTGCAGCAGCGAGAAGAAGAGCTGTGTGCGAGCAGCGCTGTGCTTCCACGCCTTGAGCAGCGTCTCGCTGTCCACATGCCGCAGCACTGCCAGCACCGCCACCACCACCTGCCGCTTCTGCAGCACCCCCAGGCGCGTGAACACGCGTGGGTCGTCTAATACCTGGTGCGGAAATTGGGGCGGAGGGAGGATGGGCACGAGAGTGGGGGCAGGGTCAGGGAAAGGGGGATAAGATAGCAATGCAGAATGACGATGGGGATTCGCCTGAATGAGCTAAGATGAGCATGAACCTGGCTGGCCACGGACATTGACCAGCCCACCGGACAAGATATGGCCCACCTGGTTGGCTACGAGGAAGTAGACTGCAACCTGCAGGGTTTGAAATGTGCCCAGACCGTGCCAAGAAGGCTAGTTAGAAGCAGCGCTCCTGGGTGACTAACTAGTGCGCACCTGGGTGACTAGAGCGCACCTGGGCGACTAGTGCCCACCTGGATGACTAGCGCGCACCTGGGTGACTAGCGCGCACCTGGGTGACTAGCGCGCACCTGGGTGACTAGTGCGCACCTGGGTGACTAGTGCCCCACCTGGGTGACTAGTGCGCACCTGGGTGACTAGTGCCCCACCTGGGTGACTAGTGCCCCACCTGGGTGACGATGGGGAAGTAGAGCTGCGAGATGTAGAGCTTGAGGTCCGCCTGCTGGTAGCGCGCGTCGTACTCGTGCTTGGCCAGCAGGAAGGTCAGCATCCGCGACGCCTGTGAGGGCGGGGAGAGAAGGCAGTGAGGACGGGAGACTGTATGAGAATTACGCGGGGAAGAGGGAAATGCATGGGAATCAGTGAGTGCGCATGTGGTGGAAAGCATCGGATAACGCCACACCACACGCACGGCATGGCACGCAAAACAGCACGCCATGGCACGGGGCAGAAAGGGCGAGACAGCATGGCATGAAACATCAGGCCGCAAGGAATGGCATGCATGGGCCATGGCGCACTGTGGCTCGCTGGTTGGGGTCGTCGTGGTTCAGGCCTGTGAATAGGTCCTTCACCAGCACTGTCGACAGATAGTTCCTGCATCAGGAACAGGAAGTGGAGGCGAGTGGGAGAGGGAAAAAGGGAAGAAAATGAGTTTTGGAATGTTTCAGACTCCACGCCTGTGAAAAAGCCCCTCATGCCGCACGAGCAGGGAGGAGAAGGCGACGGAAAGGAAGAGACTCGTCACAGCTGGCAAGAGGACTTACTTTTCGGTGGGGCCACGGCCGGGCGTCTCAACGAAGAGGTCATGGTCGCAGAGGATGCGCAAAAAGTGCAGCTTGAGGGAGTGCTGGTTCGCTGGACACATGCCCGCTAGCTGCGACAGGAATAGCCCCACCTGGAGTTTTGGGAGAGGACGCAGGGTGGGAAAAGGGGTCGTTTTGGTAGATGGAGTAAAGTTGGTCAGAAACGTTCAACAGGTGCTGTGAACACAAGTTCAGTTGAATTGAAAACACTTGAACGAGCTTACCAGCTAGAACAGCTGAGGCGGCGGGTCGACGACAGTAATAAGGTCATAGCAGAAGAAGACGAGGGAGTTGGTGAGGCGGCTTTTGAGTTGTCTCAAAACGCATACAAGTCATCTTATAAGTCATTCTCACTCCAACTCTATACTCACCAACTCGAATACTTGAGGCGGGTCAACAACTGTGATGAGGTCGTAGCAGAAGAAGGCGAGGGAGTTGGTGAGGCGGCTTCTAAGTTAGTCAGTCATTTTACAAGTCATTTTGAGCAGACTCAACTCAGAACTCACCAGCTCGAACACTTGAGGCGGGTCGACGACAGTGATGAGATCATAGCAGAAGATGGCGAGGGAGCTGGTGAAGTCGACTCAAAAGTCAGCCAATCTAAAAGTAATTGTGAACCAACTCAGAACTCACCAGCTCGAGCACTTCAGGCAGGTCAACAATAGTGATGAGGACGTAGCAGAAGAAGGCGAGGAAGTTGGTGAGGCGGCTCTTGAGTCAACTCAGAAGTAATTTTGAGTGGCCTAACTTACACAAAACTCACCAGCTCAAACACTTGAGGCGGGTCGACGACAGTGATGAGGTCATAGCATAAGAAGGCGAGGGAGTTGGTGAGGCGGCTTCTGAGTTGACTCAAAAGTCAGTCATTATACAAGTCATTTTGAGCAGACTCAACTCAGAACCTACCAGCTCGAACACTTGAGGCGGGTCAACAACTGTGATGAGATCATAGCAGAAGAAGGCGAGGGAGTTGGTGAGGCGGCGTGCGAGGGGGTATTCAGAGTCGGCCTTGTCCTGCACCTCGACCAGCAGGCACTCAAAGAGCTGCCGGATGCACAGAAACACCTCGTCCTCCAGCCTCAGCCGCGCTATCTCATCGCCTGAAAGTATCGCATGCACGGTGGGGTGCGGAAGGGGGTTGAGTGGGAGAGGGTGGGGAAGAGAGTTCTTGAGGCATCTGTAAAGCCGCACAATATAATCGCTTGGTGGTGTTGGTGCTGAGGAGTGGAGAGGGGACGCAAGGAGATGGAAGGAGGGGATAGTCAGAGTCGGCCTTGTCCTGCACCTCGACCAGCAGGCACTCAAAGAGCTGCTGGATGCACAGAAACACCTCGTCCTCCAGCCTCAGCCGCGCTATCTCATCGCCTGGTGGAGTGGGGTTGCGGCAGGAGAGGGTGAGGGGAGTGAGAGGTGAGGGAGAATGCATTTGGGGAAGACAGCTGGAGAATGGGGAAAAGGGGAATCTTGCACCAAGAACCTGAAGTTGGAACCCCAACAGTGCTCCCTGGACGACTCACTCACTCACCGATGTTGCACCCCTTGTGAAACGCCCACCTTGTGGCACCTGGGCGAGCTCGAGGTCCATGGACTTGACAACCAGCTCCAGCACAAACCACGCCATGGTCAGCGCCTGTATCCCTTCAGAGTAGCCTCACCGAGTCACCATGCATGCCCCCCCGTGCAGCTCTCACCTTGCGGCACCTGGGCGAGCTCGAGGTCCATGGACTTGACGACCAGCTCCAGCACAAACCATGCCATGGTCAGCGCCTCGCTGTACACCGGACCTACTCGGAAGCCCCGGGACTGCAGGGTCGGGATGCGAAAGAGAGACAGAAGGGGGCAATAGATGTTTGAAAGGGAATGTGGTAGCATGACTCATGCTGGTGGCCGAGATTCGAACGAAACTTATGATTTGCATGAACAGTATGGAGTGGTTGAGTGGGCATAACTTGACAGATGCCATGGCACATGCTGATATTCTAAAAACAAATCACAGCCCACTGCCCAGAACCTTCACCCTAACCCCCTGGGCACCCCAACCCTAACCCGCGAGCAAACAAACCCTAATCCCTGAGCGAGGCGGGCACCTTGCTGCGGGCGAGGGAGCGCCAGACATTGCTGAGTCCGGGGTAGACGGGCGGCTGCTGGCGGCCCAGGTCGTCAAAGACGAAGTCCACAAAGTGCACCAGGAAGCGGTTGCGCGGCACGTTGGGTGACAGCTCTGCCTGCACCCTGAAGTGTGGTGTGGGGGGAAGAGAGACCAGGGGTTGGGTGAGAGAAGAGTGAGTGCGCCCAGGTCGTCAAAGACAAAGTCCACAAAGTGCACCAGGAAGCGGTTGCGCGGCACGTTGGGTGACAGCTCCGCCTGCACCCTGAAGTGTGGTGTGGGGGGAAGAGAGACCAGGGGTTGGGTGAGAGAAGAGTGAGTGCGCCCAGGTCGTCAAAGACAAAGTCCACAAAGTGCACCAGGAAGCGGTTGCGCGGCACGTTGGGTGACAGCTCCGCCTGCACCCTGAAGTGTGGTGTGGGGGGAAGAGAGACCAGGGGTTGGGTGAGAGAAGAGTGAGTGCGCCCAGGTCGTCAAAGACAAAGTCCACAAAGTGCACCAGGAAGCGGTTGCGCGGCACGTTGGGAGACAGCTCCGCCTGCACCCTGAAGTGTGGTGTGGGGGGAAGAGAGACCAGGGGTTGGGTGAGAGAAGAGTGAGTGCGCCCAGGTCGTCAAAGACAAAGTCCACAAAGTGCACCAGGAAGCGGTTGCGCGGCACGTTGGGTGACAGCTCCGCCTGCACCCTGAAGTGTGGTGTGGGGGGAAGAGAGACCAGGGGTTGGGTGAGAGAAGAGTGAGTGCGCCCAGGTCGTCAAAGACAAAGTCCACAAAGTGCACCAGGAAGCGGTTGCGCGGCACGTTGGGAGACAGCTCCGCCTGCACCCTGAAGTGTGGTGTGGGGGGAAGAGAGACCAGGGGTTGGGTGAGAGAAGAGTGAGTGCGCCCAGGTCGTCAAAGACAAAGTCCACAAAGTGCACCAGGAAGCGGTTGCGCGGCATGTTGGGTGACAGCTCCGCCTGCACCCTGAAGTGTGGTGTGGGGGGAAGAGAGACCAGGGGTTGGGTGAGAGAAGAGTGAGTGCGCCCAGGTCGTCAAAGACAAAGTCCACAAAGTGCACCAGGAAGCGGTTGCGCGGCACGTTGGGAGACAGCTCCGCCTGCACCCTGAAGGGTGGTGTGGGGGGAAGAGAGACCAGGGGTTGGGTGAGAGAAGAGTGAGTGCGCCCAGGTCGTCAAAGACAAAGTCCACAAAGTGCACCAGGAAGCGGTTGCGCGGCACGTTGGGAGACAGCTCCGCCTGCACCCTGAAGTGTGGTGTGGGGGGAAGAGAGACCAGGGGTTGGGTGAGAGAAGAGTGAGTGCGCCCAGGTCGTCAAAGACAAAGTCCACAAAGTGCACCAGGAAGCGGTTGCGCGGCACGTTGGGAGACAGCTCCGCCTGCACCCTGGTGTTTGTGATGGAGAGAGAAAAAGGGGAGTGGGGAGGAAGGGAGGGGGAAGAAGTGTTTGTTGGGGGGAGGTGTGTTTTTGGCCGCATAGAAACTGGTAGCGGTTGCGCGTCATACTAAGAGACAGCTCTGGCGAGGGAGGGGCGTTGGAGATAAGAGGGGGAGATGTGACCACGCTGAGCACTCGCTTCGACGCACCAACAACAGGAAATCTGGCAGGTCTTCAGGCCGATCCTAACCAGCACCATCTCATCTCTACGAGCCCCTCGCTCACCTCGACACAATGTTGACGGTGGCTCGGAATGCCGCCACCTGCAGCGTCTCGACGCCGTTCCCAATCATGCACAGCAGCATGTTGAGCAGCGGGTACAGGAACTGCAGCAGCACCACCGTATCCACGCCCTTGAGCCCATTAATCGACTCCAACAAATCCTCCCGGGGCAGGGGAGCCTCCAGCACGTGGCGGTCGTACTGGCGGAAGAAGTCACGGAGGCGGTCGGAGAGGGGGAGGAGCGAGGAGAAGAGGCGCGTGCGCAGGCGGAACACGGCCTTGCCCTCCTCCCAGTAGGTCAGCTTCGCTTTTGTGCTCTCGTGCAGGTACTTGGGTAACAGCTCCTTGGACATGGGCAGGTTCATCTCGCCCTTGAACGACCTGAATGGGGGAGGGGAAGGTGGGGGGAAAAGGGGGGAGAAGAGGCGTGTGTTCCCCCTTGGTGCTCTCGTGCAGGTACTTGGGCAGAAGTTCCTTGGACATGGGCAGGTTCATCTCGCCCTTGAACGACCTGGGGAGGAGGGTGGGGGAGGGGGAGTGGAGTGGAGTGGAGTGGAGTGGAGTGGAAGGGATGGAGAGGGTTTGGATGGGAGTGGAGTGTGATACAGTGGTGAGAACCTGCATAATGCCCCCTGATGCATGTGAAGATGAGAATTTGTCAATGCATGGACGTCTACTGAGGAAAACAAAAACACCGACAGACATCCATACACGGAGGACTGGTTGGGTCATTGACTCACTGTGTGACAGCTGACAGAGGCATGACAGAGTAGCCAACCACGACCTGCCACATCAGCAGCACACACACCACGTCAGCACACATCAGCATCATCTACAAGGATGACAGGTTCGGGTCAAAGTCTCTGGAACCAGGTTTGCGGCGGTCTATTGAGGCGCCTCAAGACCAGGCTTGAAGTGGTGGGCCTTGACGGCAAGATTGATGTGGAAGAAGCAGAAGAGGAGGCTGTGCGTGCGCGATGGGCGCAGCATGGCAGAATGCACCCTTCCCGAGCTCACCCTGTACCCCTCATAAGCTCACTTTGTACCCCTGAGTTAGCTCACCGGTTTGGGGCGGTCGGACTTGACAGCGAGGTCTATGTGGAAAGGTTCTCCCCCCTAGCTCACCTGTACCCCTTGTAAGCTGACTCTGTACCCGTTATAAGCTCACCCTGGCCGCCTCATAACCTTACCGGTTTGGGGCGGTCGGACTTGACGGCGAGGTCGATGTGGAAGAAGGAGAAGAGGAGGTGGTGGGAGGGGCGCAGCACGGCGGGCAGCTGGATCTTGAACTCATCGTGGAAGAGCGATGGCCGCATGCCCATGGCCACCTGTGACGACGCCACTCGCTGCATCGCGTGCTCCCGCTCCCAGGGGAAGATGGCCTGAAGTGTGGAAGGGATGGGTGTTCGGGTGGGGAACAGAGAGAGCAGAGGAGGGCATGCCTATGGCCACCTGTCAGGACGCCACTTGCTGCGTTGAATGCTCCCTCTTGAGACCTCTAAACACTTGATCCCACACGCTGCATGTAGATATGAGCACGAACCGGACTCAAACATGTTTGCTCAAACTTTTTCGAACCTTGCATGGGGGTCGAACCGAACCGAACTTGTTTGCTCGATTTTTTTTTTTAATGTTGAGGTTTGAGGTTTGTATATGTAACAGCGAACCTTGAAAGGTTTGTGCGAACTCGAACCTAGTTAGGTTTGGGGGTAAATATGATGCACAAGGAAATGTAAAAGGCATGCGCGTCGGACGGTTCAGCATTGTACTCACACCCAAACGTACGTATGACGCATCTTAAAGCGGCGGTCTACATTCATAAATGCCTTTTTGGGGGACAATTAGCGTGGACACCCTAGGACGCACTCTGATTAGCTGGCGAAGTGACCCTTGTCCTGAAATGGGGGTGCGAAGGGGTCAAACAAGACTGGCGAATCCGCCAGTTTCGTGAAAAAAAACTCGGGTGGGAAAACAACCCTCGGCGAATCTTCAAACGTTTCGAGAGGTTGGAAGGTTTGGCATTTTCGTCAAAACCAACAACAAATCAGGGCTGGGAATGGGGTTTGGCGAAACTGATGAGCCAATCCTGAGAGTGTGAATTTTCAGGGGGGGGGTTCCGGAGGTCACAAATCAGAAATCGCACCTCGCCACTGAAGCTCACAGCAACCTGGTTTTCAAGTGATAAACTCAGGCCTCCCGCGTGAGGTATGTAGGCCGCAGCTTTAAGAGGGAGTTGTAGTGAATGAATAGTAGTGTGGGAGCTTGGGTGTGGTACTTCGGAGCAGATCTATCTAGATCTTCTCTACCTAAGTTACGATCTTAGGGTTGGCTGCCGTGAAATGGCAGCCATCCCTACGACTTCCCCAATTTTGACGGGAAAGTCGAGCAGGTTCTGGCGGGGTCTAATTCGAACCCCGCAAAGTTTGAAATTTGCTGTTTCGAACTTCGAACCGGTTCGGTTCGAAGTTCTAAACTCGAACTATAAAAGTTTGAGCAAACGGTTCGCGCGAACTTTTTCAAGGTTTGCGCAAACTTTTTTCGAGAGAAAAAAAGTTCGGTTCGTTTTAATTCGAACCGGTTCGAGCGAACCGAACCTAGGTTCGGTTCGTTGCCCATATCTAGCTGCATGCGTACAATTCAAGTCGCCCGTCAAACCTGCCGAGGGGGAGAGGGCTGGAAGTAAGAGCCGCCACCATCTTTGAGATTCGTTCCTGTCAATATGTTCCGTCGGATGCCGCCCACACCACACGTAGACCACCCAACCTGAAACCTAAGGCAAACTGTAAGCAGAACATCGCAGTACCTCGAGCTGCGGGCGGCTGCTTTAACTTCATTGCCTCTTTCGGAAGAAAAAATGGTTCCCTGTGAACGTACGTACGTACGTACATACCTCGAGCTGTGGGCGCGAGGACTGGAGGTCGGTGTCGTCGTCACGGAGCTCGAGGCACATGAAGAGATTGAGCTTCTTGGGGAGCGTTGAGTCTCTTGAGTCGACTCCGAAGTCATGAAGGCAAAGAGGTTCCCTGAGAACGTACGTACCTCGAGCTGAGGGCGTGAGGACTGGAGGTCGGTGTCGTCGTCACGGAGCTCGAGGCGCATGAAGAGATTGAGCTTCTTGGGGAGCGTCACGCTGTGCGGATACACAAACGCCAGGTGCTCCAGATGGGTGAATGGCTCTGCACGCGTCATGTCTGTGAAGTCCAATGCATGGAACTGAAGGGGGGATGAGGGGTGGGGTTGGGGGTCGGGGTGGGGGGGAGTATATGGAAGGTTCAAGAGTTGGGTGATGGTGGTGAGTGGCAGAGAGGAAAATTTGAAGAAAAAAAAACACAAAAAACGCTGGAGCATGTGTTGCACATGCCAGCTCACTCACTCACCCCGTTGAGCAGGCGGGAGATGGAGAAGGTGCGACTGAGCCCACCCACTTCATCCGCGTCTGACCCCATTGACTCCATTGACCGCGTGTGACCCATGGCCTGGCTGTAAGGGGTGCTGGTCCCTGCAGGTCCCCCCTGAGCGGAGTGGGAGAGAGCCGTGCTGCCTGGCAGCCGCTCCACCTCCACTTGCATGGACATGCGCACTGGCTTGTGCACCTTGCGCTTGGGGTCCTGAAGGGGGTTAATGAGGGGGTAAGGCAGGGCAAGTGCGGGAAAAAGTAAGAGTAAAAAAGGAGGTGTGACATACTGGAGTCTGGAACAGGTTGCAAGAGAGAAGGCTAAGCAAGTGGGCGTGGTAGCAGCATGCGGGTGGAGTAGGCAGCCAAAGCAAAGCAATATGATCCCCATCCACGGCACGGCAGACATCCCTAGCTCCTGCTGCGTGATACGCACAAAGAGCTGGTCTTCAGTGTAGCACTCCTTCACGCGCTGCATACACGGGATATCCACGAGCAGAGGCCCCCCCAGCTCATACCGCGGCGCAGCCGCCCCTTCCCCCAGCGCCCCACTGCTAGACCCCGGCGTCCCAGGCCCCCCTGCCCCTTCCCCTGCCCCTCCCCCTGCTGCTCCGCCCAGCACCCCTGGTGTGCCGGCTCCTGTGCTGCTGCTCCCGAAGCCGGTGGCGCTTCCTGTGCCGGCTGAGTCGAAGAGCGGGATGGTGGCGAACGCAAAGGCCTCGCGGAATGGCATGCTCTGTGGTGGTTGTGTGGGGGGAGAAGGGAGAAAGTAGGTAAGGTGGGGGGTTGCAGGGGGGTATGGGGTGAAAGCGTGATGGACTCGGAAGTCTTGGGGGCTGGGATGGCGCGTGCAGAGTAGAAAGAGGTTGAGGGGAAGAAATTCTTCGATCAAGCAGACAGACGGTAGATAGACTGACTGACCTGTGCCCATTCTGAGAGCCGTGATGCCTCCCTCTCTGTCAAAACGGGCTGCATGCACACATGGAAAGAAGATCCCAGTGAGCAAGGAGGGAAGCAGGTGCATGTTAATCAGCAAGGAGTAGTGATGTGATGAGTACAACAGCACCTGTGACAGCAGTACCAAAGAGAGAAGAAAGTGGCGGATGTGCAAAAAGAGGCGCAGAAGGACCAGCGACAGCAGTGAGAGAACTCACTGGGTCCTGGTTCATATTTTAGTCTCGGTAACCAGCCGATTCTGTCACAGTCACTGGTTGCTTGACTTCAAAAAATATCAATAGCTGATGATCAATAGCCACTCACAGGGTCCTTGCGCGTGTACACGGAGCCTTTGACGCCGTTGATGCTCTCCTCTGTGACTGCTCGCTCCACCTGCACCAGCAGGCACAGCGCTGCCGCCTCCCTCTCCACCGTGAATATCGCCCTCAGCTCGGGAGACGTGCTCTCCTGCCCCCACACACACACACGCACGCACAGTGGGGAAAAGGGAGATCGGTAGAGGTGTTATGGGACATGTGAGCACGGTCATTGCTCGCACATGAGGCATGTGCGCATACACTGAAACCTCAATGTAGAAGGAAGCAGGAGAGGAAAACAGAGAGAGACGAGGCATGTGACTGACAGGCCATGCGGACCTCGTGTGACGACTATGCATGTTTTCTCGTTTCCCCAACTGACTGTGCTTCACTTAGATTTTGACCTTAAGGCACTCACCCCGTCCCAGGAGAGAGGCAGGTACTGGAAATGAAAATCCTCTGAAACCTTCTCCTTCTTCTCCGTGTGATACAGACAGATGGAGCCATAAAAGGGCTCCACGAGGCCTGCCGGTACGTTGAATGACAGTATTCGCACAGAGAAGCGCGTGCCTCTGGGGAGTGGGGGGAACAGGGGCAGTACAGGGTGGGTGGGGTTTTTGGGGCGCCTAAAAAATCGTCAGTAACGGCTCCACAAGGCCCGCTGGTACATTGAATGACAGTATTCGCACAGAGAAGCGTGTGCCTCTGGGGGGTGGGCGGAACAGGGGCAGTACAGGGTGGGTGGGGTTTTTGAGGCGCCTCATAAATCGTCTAAGGGCTCCACGAGACCCGCCGGTACGTTGGATGACAGTAATCGCACAAAGAAGCGCGTGCCTCTGGGGAGTGGGGGGAACAGGGGCAGTACAGGGTGGAGGAGGGTACTCAGGGAGAACGGACGCAGATGGATCATGGGTTGCCAGAAGCACATGGGTCATGAGCGGCCGGACGCACATGGCAGTGCAATATTGTAAGAGTTTTCAGATCAGAAGTGCGAGTAAGGAGTCAAGAAGAAGGATGTCCACGGTGCTGTGGCATGTGAGAGGAGTTGAAAGGAAGGAGGAAAGTGGCTGGGACTGGTGAGGAAAGCCGCTGGGACTGGTGAGGAAAGGAGGGCAGGGCAGGGCACATACACTGTGCTGCTGACAATGGGCTTGATGGGCATGCGCTGGCCAATGACAGCAGCTCTGTCCGTCTCCCAGCTGAACAGAGGCTCGTACGCCATGATGGGTGGGCCCCCATAGTGCTGCGAGGTGGCACACACGGAGAGGGATGGCAGACAGACAGGGAGAGAGATGACACACATGCACACACACACTCAGAATCAGCCCCCTCCACACACGCACGCATACCCTCAGGGCCTCCAACTTTGTCGTCCGGGTCCCTGTTCTCCAACTACGGCTCCACATCCGTGTGTGAAGCCGTCTAACCACACGCATGCAACAACCTTATCTCTCCCCCACACACACACACACCCTGGCCTCCCCCCTCCACCCCCTCCACACCTCGTCATCCGGGTCCCTGTTCTCCAGGCGGCTCCACGTCCGCGTGTTAAGACGACTCATCACATGCACACGCGCACGTACTCAAACACCCGACCCCCCCCCTTTCCCCACACGCCTCCCCACCTCGTCGTCCGGGTCCCTGTTCTCCAGGTACGGCTCCACGTCCGCATCATCGTCCTCCCCATCGCGCCCTGCGCCCGGCCGCCCAGGCCCCGCGGCAGAGCGGTCGGAGAGGGGCGAGGAGAAGAGCTGCGGGCGGAATGCAAGGTGCGGCTGGGAGAGGAAGGCGCCGTACTTGTTCTCCACGTGCACCAGGTCCGCGTTCACGCACAGCTCCACCTCCCGCAGGTGCGGCAGGTCCTCCGCCTCGCTCAGTACCTGGGACCAAGTTACAAGGGTGGTAAGGGCGGTAACCAGGGGCCCAGCGCGGGGGGGATGGAAAGAGAGGGAGGGGGGAAAGGGGAAATGGGAGGTGAACGAAGGTAAAATTGGGGGAAGAAGGCAGGGTGCGAGTGGGAGAGGAAGGCGCCGTACTTGCTCTCCACGAGCACCAGGTCCGCGTTCATGCACAGATCCACCTCCCGCAGGTGCGGCAGGTCCTCCGCCTCGCTCAGCACCTGGGACGGGGAAGAGGCGGAAAGGGGGGTGATCACGGGAAAAGAAAAGGGTGCGATGAGTAGGAGGGGGGGGACGAAAACTATTCCGAATGAGGGAGGAAGTGAGCGAACCTGGGTTCCACCCCATTCTCGCCTTCGCTTAGGAAATGTTCGTGCTTGTAAGTGGCCTTACAAACGCGCTGCTTCATCAAAGTCTGTTAAGGCGTCCGCATCCCTTCCAGAGCATGCCTGGCGTTAAGGTAGCGCGGACATTTTTTTCAGGCTACCGAGGTTGCTACATTCTTTCCAGTGCATGCCTACCGGTGCCTCATTGAGGTAGCGCGGGCGGAAGAAGCTGTCTCGCGACGTCAGCGCGTGCGACGCTGACAGAGCCATGCCGCGCCACCACAGGCGACCTTCGAGTTGACTCACGCGTCACCGTGTGCCATCGGCAGCCTCCCCGTCGGTCACACCTAGCTCCCTGACAGATATCACTGTGAGGCGCCTGAAAATTCCTCCCCGTCTACCACAACACCTGGCTCCCTGACAGCTCTCACTGTGTTCTGCCGCTTCGCATCTAGGCAGCACCGAGACCCATCAATTGGGAATACCAGCAGTATATCTCCGATCGAACTCAAGTAAGCGCATGGTTAATGTGAGAAGTGTTAATAACTTTGGTTACTAAAAGACAGCCTACTAAGGAACTCCTTGGGTGAATTGATCGCGCGATCGTGGACCGTGGCAGCTGTGTTGAGTTGGCTCGGGTCCTTACAGATAATGAGGTAGCGTTGTTGCGTGAGAGACATTCAGTGTTTTCGCAATGCAGATAGTTGAAACTATGGCCGTGAGAGGCACGAAAAGAGAGGAAACGACGACGACGACATGATACCGTGTACCGAAGTACGAAATTGGAGTAAACTCGAAATGGGCTACACGATGTTTTTCGCGATCAGTGAGCGCTACGATATCCTTCGAGAAAACAATCTGCGTGATCGTAGCTCAAGGCGAGAGAAGGACGGAACGTGCTCTCAGGAACACGCATGATACCGACGTCTCTGAAATGACACGAGGTCTATGGAATGCAAGAGTTTCAGGTACTGCGACTAATGCTTCCGAAATGCCTTGCGCGAATATAAGGAGGACCTAAAGGCCGTGCAACCGTGAAATTAGGTTGTCGTCGTCAACACCGTCACAATTCGTGGCTGAAAACTGCAGTGTATGTAATGATGTCAGAAGGCCCAGCTCAGAAACAAATGAAGCAGGCCGACTTCTGGTTCAACAAATTACCACTGGACGAGGCTACCAAAAGCCTGCAGTCAAAAATCGGACTGGATGGCTCGCAGCAGGCTTTCGAGATCGCCGAAGGAAAACAGGCGACCAGCGGACCGACCACAGGGATGGCCGCGCGGATAGCTACAGTACAGGATTGCGGAGTCAAAGGGCGCAAGCGCAGGCAGGCGGAAAGTGGGCTGGGTCGCGCGGATTACTACACGCATTTCTCTCCAATGTTAGGCCCCTTGGCCTAAATCCTCTAAAGAATAGCGGGGTTGACTAAATTGAGGATGAAGCGCGGCGGAAGACTTTGGCGAAGGAAGTCTTAGCGAAATATGCGAAGAAGTAACTGAGTAATAGTTGAATGAGAATTGGTTGATATTGGTGAAAACAAGCAAGCATTACACAGCATGCAAGAGCGATAGTTGGAAAGTACTTCGTGGGACTAGAAAGTAGTGTTGAAGAAAATCTATTGTTATGTTTTCTTATAAACTGCCAACAGCTTTAACAGTAGTGTAGTGTAGCTTCTTGTGGGTGGTGGTGCACCTTTGTGCCCACCCTTGCTCCTACTTGTACCCTTGTTCCCAATTATCCAATCCTCTTTGGCCAACTTTTCCATCTTCTCGCTATGTTTCTCCTTAGCTTCTCAAACCCTAAGTCCTAGCTACTAAGTACTATTTCGACATGGTAACAGAGCATCTACGCTCCTGGCATGTGGGCCCAACTGCTTCCGCTGCTGTACTGTCTGTCGCGCGCCCCGTGGCGCGCGACGTTTTTTTCTTCCCGCCACGCGCTCGGGGCGCGTGGCGGTTTTCTGCCCGCCATGCGCTCGGGGCGCGTGGCGGTTTCACGCTCCGTCGCGGCGCCCCCGGGGACCCGCGCGCCGCCCCCCGTCGCCCGTCGCGGCGCCCCCGGGGACCCGCGCGCTGTCCCCCGTCGCACGTCGCGGCGCCCCCGGGGACTATCGCGCCGTCCCCGTCGTCCGTCGCGGCGCCCCCAGGGACCCGCGCGCCGCCCCCCGTCGCCCGTCGAGGCGCCCCCGGGGACCCGCGCGCCCCCCCTCCTGGACCCGCCTGCCGCCCGCGCCCTGCCCGTTGCGAGTGCCCCACAGCCCGCCCGCGCCCTGCCCGTTGCGAGTGCCCCACAGCCCGCCCGCGCCCTGCACGTCGCGACGCCGCCCGCCCTCCCCCCTCCTCCTTCGACTTCCTGCTGCGCGTGCAGCCGTGTGGAGGGTATGGGGGTGGCGGGGGTAAGGGGGGGTATGGGGGTGGTGGGAGTGCGTGACCAGCTGCCCCTCCTCCTCCTCTCTCTCCCACTACTGCAGCTGCCGCTGAGGGGGGGGATGGAGTGGGTGAGGTTGGGGAGTGGCGCTAGGGCCGAGGGGTGTGACAAGGGGGGGTGGGACAATCCGAGGGGGGTGAGGGCGGGTGGCCGCCGTGAAGTCCGCAGCTCTAGTCGCCCGTGAGACCGTTGCGTCAGAGGCCCGTGGGTCAGTTGCTCTTGCCGGCGAGCGAGCCAGTTACTCCGGTTACCCCGTTGCTCCGGTCCCCAGAGGGTCAGTTGCTCTTGCCGGCGAGCAGAGCCAGTTACGCCGTTTGCGACCAGTGCCAGCAGCTTCAGCGGCCGCCCACCTCCTCTCCTCTCCAGTTTCCTCCTCCTCCCGCTGCACTAGTTATTGCTGTGGGCAGTTTAGGGGGTGTGTTGAAGAAAATCTATTGTTATGTTTTCTTATAAACTGCCAACAGCTTTAACAGTAGTGTAGTGTAGCTTCTTGTGGGTGGTGGTGCACCTTTGTGCCCACCCTTGCTCCTACTTGTACCCTTGTTCCTACTTATCCAATCCTCTTTGGCCAACTTTTCCATCTTCTCGCTATGTTTCTCCTTAGATTCTCAAACCCTAAGTCCTAGCTACTAAATACTATTTCGACAAGTAGAAGGCAAGAAACTAGAGTGCCACGTAGCACTAGGAAATCCAAGAAGATAAGATGATGATAAGGTTGGGAAGCACTGTTCAGAATGAATAGTAAAACACCCTGTAACACTACTCCCCTCCCAAGGAGGCGACCTGCAGACTGAAGGTACGCTTGGAGGTAAGCTTTGTCAGGAGACAGTGAGGACGAAGGAACCCAGCTGTCGTCTGTTGCGTCGTAACCACGCCAACGAACCAAAAAGTCGATGAAAGAGACACCCCCCTGGAGACGGCGACGGTGCCTGAGGATGCGCTGGATCTGGTAGTCGGGCTCGTCGGTGTCAACAGCTACCGGCAGTGGATTGCGATCACGGCCCGAGAATGCGGTGTTGGGATCGGTGTAAGGCCGAAGAAGATACACGTGGAATGACGGGTGCATGCGGAAATGAGCGGGAAGGCGGAGGCGGTATGCGACTGGACCTAGTGTGCGCTCAATAACGAATGGACCAATGAAACGTGGGCGGAGCTTGCTGTCCTGTGGCAGTCAGAGGTTGCGGCTGTCGAGAAGGACACGGTCGCCAACTGAAAACGACAGTGTCGGTAAAGACGTGAGCGACTGTTTCATCTGCTCGAACGCCTGCTGCTGCGCTGGACCCCAATCGAAATCTACGCCTTTCCGAAGTAGGTCGGTGAGTGGACTAGCGATCGATGCGTAACCCTGAACGAAACGACGGTAGTAATTCGCGAATCTGAGAAAGCTGTGCAATTCCTTGACTGAGGTCGGAGCCAACAAATCATCTACTGCTGCGATCTTCGTCGGGTCGGTCCTAATGCCACTAGCGGATACGACGTGACCTAGAAACTCGACCTCGGGGAGGAAGAACTCGCACTTCGACTGCTTAGCGTACAGCTGCACCATCCGCAAGACCTCGATGACCTTCTGAAAGTGTTGCACGTGCTCCTCTTTCGTTTTGGAGAAGATGAGGATGTCGTCTAGGTAAATTACGACGAATGAACTTAGGAACTCTGAGAGGACGGTATTCATGAGCGTCTGAAACGTCGCTGGGGCGTTGGTCAAACCGAACGGTAGAACCCTGAACTCGTACAACCCCTGCTTCGTACGAAACGCCGTCTTGTCCTGATCCTCCGGAACTAGTCGAATCTGGTGGTAACCCGAACGAAGGTCGATCTTTGAGAAGACTCTAGCGCCCTGCACTGCATCTAGGAGATCCTCTACGCTCGGCACTGGGAATCTGTTCTTGACGGTGGCGGCGTTCAGTGCGCGGTAATCTATGCACATCCGTAACCCTCCGTCTTTCTTGAGTGCGAAAAGGATCGGTGCTGCCCAAGGCGGTCTAGATGGCTGTATGAACCCCTGCGCTATGAAGTGCCTAACCTGCTGCGTCATCTCTTCTGTATCTGCTGGACTTAACCTCCACTGCGGCTCCATTACTGGCCTGCTCCCCGGCTCCAACTCTATTCGATGGTCGACTGCTCGGCTAGGAGGTAACCCTGGGGGCAACTCGTCGGGGAAGACGTCTCTAAACTCCGCTAAGAGTGCACTCGCTTCAGCAGGAAGAGTTGTCTTATCGCCAACTGCTGCACTCCCTCCTTTCCCCTCCTCAGCTTCTACCTCCTCAAGGAAAACCGCGAAGATTCGTGCCGCCCGCTTCACCAGCTGCCACACACGAACGGCATTGATGATAGCTGTGGATGATGTGGCCCCATCGCTCCACTGTGGCAGCTCCCATAACTCCCCGTCTACCTTGACGCTACAGCTTCCCTGAGCCCAATCGAACTGAGTACTAAACGTTCGTAGCCAATCCCTCCCGAAGATGAATACGTAAACGTCCAGCGTCGCAGAGTCGAAGCCACGCCTAACCGTGACCGGTCCTAGCACTACGCGCAACTTGCGAATGACTGGTCCTATGTGAAGTGGCGTCCCATCTACCATACGAGCGTCCTTAA